TTCGGATCCGTCAGGAGGCCCAACTCGCGTAGCGGGATCCCTTTCACAGAGCGCCCAAGGAATGGCAGGGTGGCCATGAGCGCCTTCTCTTCTACGCGCAGCGCCAGCGCTACTTCCTGTGCACGCTCGTTGAGCGCCGCCTCTTTCTCACGAACAATCTTCGCGTCCCCCACAGCGCCTTCCTTCGCGAGCTCCTCATCGCGCTCATGCAGCAGATTGCGAAAATTGTCGTCCGCCTCCACACAGGCCGTCAAAAGAGGGCCACGCAAGGCCATCGGGTCCACGTAGGGATACAGCGACGCCACTCGCGCTGCAGCCTGCTCGTCCGCAGCACGAGTCTTCCTCACGTCCGCAGCAATCTGTGACGCACGCACACACAGCTGCGCATGAAGTTGCTTCGCAAGAGGCACAGTGGGCTCCCCGCCGTGCGGCACCAGCTCATTGTACCGTGCAAGTAGCTCCTGGAAGTAAGGGTCGTCCTCCAGATACAACTCCCCCTGCGCAACACCATCAACCGTTTCCGGAAGGACGGAGTACAACGCCGCTGGAACTGCACATCCCGATTTGTCGTCGTCGCCGTCCTCCGCAGACAACGCTGCCAGGGACCGGCGGAGCCTCTTCCCGTCCAGCTCCTCTGCCGCGTCTGAGCCTTCCACGGCACGGCCAGGAGCATCTTCAGGCTTTTGGGTGGTCTCCTCATGCACAGCACCACGCCCCACAGCTGCGGAGGCGCCCGCATCCGTCGGGTGCAGAACCCGCATTTTCTCTTGCTCCGCGACATCGCTTCCCTCAGCAGTCCGCAGTGCCTGTGCAAGGGCTTCGCATCGGGCATTCATTGCATCCTCCAGCTCACGGAGCTCCTTCGCGTTCTTCTGTGGGTCTCGGCGCAGTTCGTCGTAGCGGTCGCGCAGCTTCCGGAACTCCTCGTCTTGAAGCGGCTCATTAATCCAGCCAGGGACATCGTGGAACACAAGGAATGGGTATTCCTTCAGCAGAGAATCCTTCTCGCACTGGCCAAGCGCCAGCTCATCTGCCCGGGCACACAGCG